CGCCACGGCGGTCTCTGGGGCTTGGCTGGGGGATGCTCTGCAGGAACGGGGCTCCGTGGGGCACTAGGGCCTGGCTGGGGGATGCTCTGCAGGAACGGGGCTCCGTGGGAAACTGAGGCCTGGCCGGGAGATGCTCTGCAGGAACAGGGCTCCGTGGGGCACTGGGGACTGACTGGGAATGCTCGTCAGGAACGGGGCTCCGTGGGGCACTGGGGCCTGGCTGGGGGATGCTCTGCAGGAACGGGGCTCCGTGGGGCACTAGGGCCTGGCTGGGGGATGCTTTGGAGGAAAGGGGCTCTGTGGGCAGACTGCATTGGAGGGAGAGTTGGTGACCTGGGGCGGTGGGGGAAAGATTTCTTTCGTTACAGTTTCAAACACTTTGGTGTGGGTTTCTTTTTGCCAACTTCTATTAACTCCAAAGTAAATTCTGCCCTTGGGAGCAGAACTCTCCTTGGGAAAGATCCCCCCGCCCCCTGCAATGGCAGACTGAGGGAGCCTGGAGCCCTCCAAGGAGCGCTCTAGTGCCCAGAGGGTTGGGTGTCCTGTGTATGGCTGAGTTAAAACAAGCAGACAAATAACCCCAAACAACAACCAAAAGCAGCCCCCTATGTGGCTGAGATCCTCAGACCCCCACCTCTATATTCGGGAGCCCCCACTCCCTCTCTGCTCCAGTACCCACCCCTGCACTCCAGAGCCCCCACCTCTGTATCCAGAGCCCCCAACCCCTATTCCACAGACCCCACCCGCTCTGTACTCCAGGCGTCACCTCCTATCCCAGAGCCCCCACCCCTTCTATGCTCCCCAGAGCCCCACCCCATATTCCAGAGACCCCTCATGTGCTCCCTAGAGCCCCCACCTGTATTCCAGAGCTCCACCCCCAGCGCTCCCCAAAGCCCGCCCCCTCCAGAGCCCCCACCCCATATTCTAGAGCTTCCAGTCCCGTGGATGGGCAGTAGCCTGGCGCTCCCTGCCCCCCTCCCCATCCTCGTGTGTGTTTTGCCTCGTTGCTCGGCCGGGGACGGACGCGTCCCTCCTGCGGGCTCTCCTCAGCTCGGACCCCGGGGGCCGAAGCCAAGTGGCGAGTTCCCGCGAGCTCCGGGGCCAGGAAACTACAGCTCCCAGCAGCTCCTGCTCCGGCTCCGGCTGGGGGCCGAGCCCGGCCGAGTTGGGGGAAAGCATTCCTGGAATTCGCTTCCTGTCGAGTCCTGCCCGAGGCCGAGCCGCGGGATGGCGGGGCCGCAGCGGGCGGAGGGCGGCGAGCGACCCCCGGGCCCCGGGGGCAGCCTGGCAGCGTGAGGAGCCCCCCAGGCTCGCGCGCCCCGGCCGGGCCATGGCCGAGCTCCTGCTTCGGAGAACGTTCTCCCGGCTGAGGGGCAAAGAGAAGCTCCCCAGGAAGAAGGAGCGAGGTACCGCCGGGCTCGCTGAGCCGCGCTCGGGGCAGGGATGCGCTGCGCTGCGCTGCGCAGAGTTTAGCTTTCCCGACGGGGCGGCTGGTCCGGCGCCGCTGCCCGGGCTACCCCCGCGGAGCCGGGCTGCAGGCGCCCGGGGGCGAGGCGGGGCTCGCGGGCAGGGTGGGGCGCTGGTTGTTGGGACGCGGCTGTCAGCGAAGGAAGGCCCGGCCCGAGGATGCTCCGGGGAGCGGAGCGGAGCGCCCCGCCGAGCAGGGGCTGAGCTCTCCGCGCGCCCCGTCCCATCCCGTCCAGCGCTCGCGGCCCGCCCGGGGCAGGGGCTGCAGGGCCCCGGGCATTGGGGGCGCCGGGATCGGAGGGGCAGGGGGCGGCGCTCGAGCCCCAACCGTTGCCTCGCTCCTAAAAAGGCAGAAGGAAGGAAAAATGCGGCGGGGGGGAGGGCTGGAGCCAACCAGCGCCCCCACAGCCGCCAGCTGAGGCAAGAAGACTGGATTGCCCTGGCACTCCTGGGCAGACCCAAACCCTTCCACCCAGCCTCTCCCTGCCACCCAGCAATCCCCAGTCCGAGCTGCCCTCCTCCCCCTGCGCTGGGGTTTGGTTGTGGTGCTCCCAATACTGTTTGTTTTAGCACAAGACTCCAGCACCAACCTTGGCCCATCAGGAGTCAGTTTGTGTGTCTGGGCTGCTATGGGTTGGCAGGTCTCTGTGCGCTGTGGCCTAGGGAGTGAGTGGGGAGTCTGGGTGTGAGTGCCAAGGGTGTTTGGAGGGGAACATGGCCCAGCAGTGCTAGAGGCACTGAGCAAAGGTTGGGTGGTGAGGGCTGAGCGGAGGCATAGTCCGAACCAGGGAATAGCCTGGCCAAATCTCCCAGTGTGACAGAAGTCTTGTATAGCCCCTGGGATCAAACCTGGGACCTCTGGAGTTTAGTGCATGAGCCTCTACCGCCTGAGACTTAGAGCAAACTCATTAATCTCTCTCTCTCTCTCTCTCTCTCTCTCTCTCTCGGTGCCTATGGGACTAGATGGGACAGAACACCACACCCAGAAGGTGTGTGTGGGTTACACTTGCACTATGTGGAGTGACTCAAACCCTCAGCTCCTGGAGTCCTGGGATTTGGGAAAATTGGCAGCGTTCGTTAAAAAACCAGGGAGTTTCTGGCCCTGGTGGTGGGGGAGAAAGGCTGGAACCATGACCCCAAATGGACTCAACTCCGGGAGGCAAATGTTCCACCCCTGCATTGGCTGGCTGAGCTGCTGCCATCAGTTTGGAGCTGATCTCGTGGTTTTGGGGCCAGACTCACTAAGCTTTGAGCCCTGAGGTTGGCAATGCTATGGGGCGAGGAGCTTGCTGTGAATCCAGATGGGATGTTTTTGTAATAGCTCTGCTCTAGGAATTATTGTGGGTTTCCGGCCTGTGTTCTACAGGAAGTCAGACTAGGTGATCACACTGGTCTCTTCTGGTCATAGACTCTGTGAATGGGGTGGGGTTGGGGTGCCAGCCTTGTGGCCAGAGTTGTGATGATTGGGGCTGGATGGGAGCACTGGCCGTCCAGGCAGGAAGCACAGGCCAGGGCTGGGAGAGGCCGCAAAGGAAGAAGCAGCAGGATTTGGATGGGGCCGGATGGATGGGCCAAGGAGTGGCCGGCTCAGAGACAGGGACTAGAAGATGATGGGCTTGAGCGACACCCCCGAGACAAAGGAAAGTGTGGGGGTGGTTTAGGAGGTGGGTTTGGGCCATGGTGAGTCTCAGCTGGTGGCAGCACCCTGTTGGAGGGATCCAGGAGGGCTGGGAGGGGAGTGCAGTTGGAGGGAAGCAAATCTGTGAGTCACCAGCAGAGAAGAAAGTCAAGGCAGCTGAGGCCGACAATGGGAGGAGGAGAGTCCCCTGAGGATCTATCAGAGAGGAAGGGGAAGCCAGGAGACCACCGAGCCATGCCAGCTTGACAGACAGGAATCAGATAGTCATAGCTATGGCCCTACCAAAGTCACGGTCCATTTTGGTCAATTTCACAGTCATGGGATTTTAAAAATCATCAATATCATGATTTCAGATATGTAAATCTGAAATGTAACAGTGTTGTATCTGTAGGGGTCCTGACCCAACTCTAAAGGCAGCAGCGAAGAAGTGAGGGTGGCATGGTATGGTATTGCTTCTCTTACTTCTGCGCTGCGTGCTGACTTCAGAGCTGGGTGCCTGGCCAGGAGCTGCCGCTCTCCAGCCACCCAGCTCTGAAGACAGCATAGAAGTAAGGGTGGCAATACTGTGACTCCCCTACAATAACCTTGCAACCCCCCCACAACCCTCTTTTGAGTCAGGACCCCCATTTTGAGAAGCGCTGGTCTCCCCCTGTGAAATCTGTATAGTATAGGGTGAAAGTGCACAAAAGATCAGATTTCACCGTCTGTGATGCGTTTTTCACGGCTGTGAATTTGGTAGGGCCCTAGTCGTAGCAGCTGTAGCTGACCGGGTTGTGCTGGACCAGGATATGTCACATGACAATGGGGCCCAGAGCTGCCAGAGGACATGCAGCACCTGAGGCCTCCAAGGGCCATAGCCAGAGCTGAGCTCCGCTGGAGCCAGTTCTGACCCCAGACACCTGGGCATGCAGTTGGGTCACTGCAACCAAACCAACTCCCTGCAGGTTTGGGCCGGTCTGGCTCAATAGGAAAAAGGCAAAACTCTGTCCCTTCCACTCCCCATTTGGTAGCTCTGTGTCTGAGGCTGCCCCAGGGGATTGCCCCAGCACCTGACAGATGGACGGAAACTTTGCATCCTTGATCTGAGAGGATCTGGGTGGGAAGGAGCACATGCTGCGTGATGTGCTGTTGCTGCTACCGGGAGCACCTGCAGGATGTTCCAGAGGGAAGGCCCATAGTGTGCACAGAGCTAGTAGGACGTGTTCTTAGTGACCAAGGAGATTGGAGATGCTTGCAAGAATTCGCCCCCCCGCCCCCTCCAGGATCCAGTTTCTTTAATATTCAGAGGCAGGAATTGTTCATGCCAGAGCCAGTCCCCACTGAGACCGTGAGGACATGGCAAAGGGGTGAGAGAGTGACCCAGCAAGAAGCCTCTGACAGGAGTCCAGGACGAGTGGCTTCCTGCTGTCAGAGCAGGTGCAGGTTCCTGGTGAGTTTGTGATGGAGAACAGCCTGCAATCCATGTTTTGGCATTTCCCTTTGCTAGATCAGCTCCCTTGCTATGCAGCCTTGTGGTTCATCAGAAAAGGCCATGCTGATAGCCAGGGGCCAAGGAAATGCATCCATGTGGACTGATTTGTCCTTAGCAGTTGTCCACTGGTCCCTGTCACGGACTCACAGGTCGTGCCCACTCTTGACGCCATGCGGTCCGTGGGGTGTGCCCCTTTCAGTGCGACAGCCCTTCTCGGGGGTCCACTCCACCTCCTGGAGCCGCACCTCTCTGAGCCTTAGCACGTCTGTCTCTGCCATGGGCCCCCTCAGGGAGTCCACTCACTCTGGACCCCCGGGCCTCCACCCCCAAAGGGGTTGATGCAACCCTGTTCTCTAGACCGGAGTGACTCTCAACCAGCATAAAACGGGAGGATTTATTGAGAGTTGAACACAGCACAGGAAACTCTCAGGGCCTCAGGCCTGGCCTCCCTCAGCCCTGCACACCCCAGTCTCTCTGCATCCAGGTGGGCTCTGCCTGCCCCCCCTCTCCAGCCCCGAGCCCCCCTGCTTCCCAGCTGGGCATCTGAGATCACCGGCCCCAGGCCCCCCTCTGTCCATTGTCTTCTCTCCAGGTAAACAGGGTTGTAAACTGGGGCCTCCTCTCCTCGCTTCTGTCCTCTGGCTGGAACCGGCTGGTTAGGTCATTGGGTCCTCACTCTGCAGCCCATTGTCCGCCTACTAGCCAGAACCGGCTGCGTCTCCTCAGCTGGGCTCCATCCTCCAGGCCATCGGCGGGGTCCCCAAGTCCTCTCTCCGGTCCTCTGCAAAACAAACTCCTTCTCCCCTCACCTCGTTAAACCAGTAACACCCAGGGAAACTGAGTCCCACCCCCTCTGCATGCAAGCCATTGAACACTCCACAGAAAACAAGAAAACCCCCCACTTCGTCACATCTCTCCCCGCTTCGAGGCTGAACGGAGCAAGGTCACTTAGCCAGTGACCTGGGGAAGTTCAGGGTCCCCGCCCTGTGATAAAGCATCCGCTATAACATTGGCACTCTCCCTCACATGGACCACCTCTATGTCATACCCCTGGAGGAGCAGGGCCCATCTCAGCAGCTTGGCATTAGCCCCTTTCATTTGGTGCAGCCAAGTCAGTGCGAATGGTCGGTGTACACGGTGAAGCGCCGCCCAAATAGATATGGTTGCAGCTTTTTAAGGGCCCACGCCATGGCCAGGCATTGCTTCTCTATGGCCGCATAGTGCTGCTTCCGGGGCAGCAGCTTCTTGCTCAGGTACACAATGGGGTGTCTCTCCCCCTTAGTATCAGTTTGCATCAGTACCGCCCCC